TCACGGGGCGCTAATATGGCGTACATGCTTTTAGGATCCCGAATCATTGCAAAGAAATCCCACAGAGAGACCTTTAATCGCGTTGTACTAGGAGAAATCTATAGAGTTTATACAATGCTACATTGCGTTCCGTGTATGTCGGATCCAAAGCACTATGTTTGAATAAAACACGGTCACTATTTGGCTCCATGTGAGGAACTTTTGCTCCCAATTTCCTGTATGACGTATTGTAGATCTTGTAACAATGGTAAATCTAAAACGTTCTGTTATCCACCCCACCGATCACGAAGAGCACAAAATTCCAGGAAAACGAAACTCAACAAAATGAGTGTGTGCACGTAAGCATGCGCACGGATGTGAAGACGCACCTTAAGCATTTTGAATAGGTATACGAATTATCATCGTATCGGTTCGCCGACTTAGGGCTCATCTTAGGATCAGCTCACGGGCCAGGAGCACTCCAATTTTTAGCTTTTGATACTGTCCACACTTGTTGGCTTCCGTCAACTCCATGATTTTATAATGGATTTTTTTATTAGATTGCTTTATGAGAGTGTTATACTTTTCGGTTTCACATCAGCCTTCTGGTGTAAAGTAGTCAGTTGGGGTCATGGTACGTGTAGATCATGTACGTGCTCACCATCCGCACACATAAAAGAGAAGTAAGGCTTACAATGGATGTCACATATATGTAGCGCAATGTTGGATTTTCTGTTGTTAAAGCATATCATGTAGCCCTGCAGTTTTGTTTTTTTCAGTGTCACCCACGCATATGGCAGTGTAGATGTCTGTCATTTAAGTAAGTCCGCCGAAGTGAATTTGAATCACTAATGGGTTGCCAGGTGGAACGAATTGAATCCGGTTGGAAGGTCAGACAAAATAACGCATTTGGATCATAAATGCTCAGATCAGAAAACTGGCACCATTCAACATAATTCAAGTGCAGCGCAAACGCAGGGCCTGTCTGTCATTCTGATTGTCTTAGAACTCGGAATATGAAAACCGACAAATTTGACGAAAAACGGTCTATAAAGCAGGATTTCGAGGTTTTTGGCCGATTCACTCGTTGACGCTGTACATAACGCCTACGGTAAGCAGATATTTTTGTATGATTTCGTTGATATCAGAGCCCATCAGAAAGACTTAATTCTGGCAGAGGCCTAAGAAGTAACTTGTTAATCTAATGCTTTTTGTGGCTGGTATCCAAGCCAACGTCAAACGCAAAAGTGTATCATAGGATAACAGCCAAGCAAAACTGATTTGGACGTTCTCCTGGCGATCATAATAAACTTGATATTAGGGTGTTTGAAGAAGGCGTTTGCAGAAAACCGATCCTCCGGATATTTGGAGAAGCTTTACTTTATAACAAAAGACCAGAAACCTAGAGTATACGTCTCCAAGTTCGCTCAAACTGTTTTTGAACCGATCAACCTCCATACAAACGAGACTTGCTCTTTGGGCAACTTATAAAACGCAGATTTTTTGTGCTTGCGTCCATAGCGGTAGGAGCAACAGCAGAAGATGATTGGGGTAGACAACAATAATGGCAGATGTGAACATGTATAAAAATTAGTCATCGGTAAATTTTCTGTTGGTTTTATTTGTTGACAATGAACAATTTTTATTATCTTAGGTCAAGCAGTAGACGATTCGAGACTACATTAACCATTTTAGGTTTTGACTTGTAGTTACTTTATGAAATATAGGTTCATTATTGTGGGAAATAAACGCTTATCGCGTGCTAAACTTTTAAAACATTTGACAATTAAATTTGCTGTGTACAAAAAATGTGCACTTTGTCCAAGCTAATGTTTTTCCACGAATAATTTAGGTGCCGCTGGTTACAAATTATTTTGGAGATTTATTCATGTACTGCTCTATAAGTAGATGGTCATTAAATTGTGGCTTAATCGCAAATACTTTGCTCTACACTGCCGCCTAATTGCGATGGCATTCATGCATGTACCTCTCGGATTGCATCAGTAAATCATAGCTAATCACATGAAATCATTGCACTACGTGCCAAACGCATTATCACCCTGGAATTACTTTTGTGACCATCCGCAAGAAAGACAGGTGCTTAAAATTTGAGCGCATTTCAGAAGTCAGCTGCCCCTATCACTTTACCATATAGTTTCATTTCAAATAAATAAGATAACAAATACAAGGACTCGTTATTTTCCGAATCTCAAGTAGGTTTACTTAAAAGTTCACTGTAATGAGATTGTTTGCCGATCACCAGAAACAGTGATGATACATAGACGAGGAGAACAATGGTCAAAGATATTAAAACAAGTAATTGTTAGTTGAACAAACCGAGTGCCTACAGGGTTGTTAAAAGTCTTCTGGTTGGCTCTATTCAACCTCACAAAGTATTACAAAATATAACCCAGAGACACATCGTATCCCCCGCGTCTAGCAAGACAACAATGTCATTTGGGGTTTTCTCCGCCGAGCAAACAACACTTCTGCGTAGATCAGCTGAACAGGTACGTGGATAAAATAGACCAAAGAATTATCAACATCGGAATCAATGTAAACGATGACCATGTCTTTACAATGGAATAACTGCCATATGTTGGCCTGAACAAAAGCGCAAATACTACCGGAATTAACTTGGAGCATCTTGTGAATTCATTAATATAAGACTATTTTGCAGGATATCATTGAGGAAATACAAAGATTCGTCAGTACATCGCGCGGACGAATATAAATTATATTAAATGCATGTTGGGTTCATAAATTTTGATGATATCCCTCTTGCGGGATAAAGTGTATGGCGATCAATTTGCATGAATTTGTTTTCGTAACGTTTATCCGTGTCATCATAGAAACATTGCACCTCGGATTGTGTATGCAGTGACTCTCATACATGGTATAATCTTGTATAACTAACCAGTGGACGTAACGGTAAAATATATACACAAATTCCGTAAAACAACTTAAGAATTACTTTCGTAACGATAGCATGCAAAACTGATTACTCAAGTATTGGATGTTGTTCATCACAACATTCGCATTGCATTCGCAATTCACATAAACCTTTCAGATGTTTACCAGAAACTTTATTATTCGTTGATAAATAATTGGCTTGCAAAATGTCTTTTATAGACTGAGCCTTCTGGCATCACCCGTCAAATTGTAGGTAGTGATTCACAAATTACCTTACCAGATCATCATAACTAGGCTGATCAAACAAAACGGTTGACCCGTAGCATAATATCTTGCAAAGATAATGAGTTCCCTTGACTAAATGTAGCAGTCGCATCTGATAAAATCCTTCAGGCTAATCCCGAAAATTTCCCAAAGCGATTTTTCATCGAAAAAGCTGTCTGCATTTTTAAGAAAATCGTAGCGATGGATAATGCAATGACTACATGCTGTGTGCATTCGACGTGCCTTTGCAGCACGCTGACCCCCCACATCGGCCTGGGATAATTTTCGAAAATGAATAATTTTTTAACCTTTAGGCCATGTATGTCAAACTTGTCATCGAGCGACACTGATATTCAAACACTTCTTGTAAATGCGCATACTATCAGGCATCACGACGTGGCTGCGTGTGGACTGGCAGCATGTTACTTTGCCAGCTCATGTGCAAGCTTGTAGGTTTGCGGCACAAAAGGCAAAACTGGGACCGCTTAAAAGTCCGAAATCTAATGATGTTCGCAAATGTAGTAGCGGAATATCTCCTCAGAATGCTGCGAGAGCTGTTCTTTCAACAGAAACCTCAATTGTTACTTGAGGTAAGGTACATCAATGTTGGGCTTATTGCATAGGAGTGACGGGTAGACAATGTTTTCCAGCCATTTCTAATCCAAGAAGTAGACGTTATATATGAGCAACAAAAATAATGCTCATATCCCTGTTGAATTACCCACTTCCATTCTGTAGTGACCGCGAAAGCTGATTTCATATTTGTTATCAAACATCCACTCCACGAGGAGGTTTTTAACTTTCATAGTTACTTGAGAAAATTCCTCGGTCATGGACCAGATAAAAACGGATTTCTTTAGACACAGAAGAAACATCTAGGTAGCGAGTCGCAAGAGGCTCTATTCAGGGTCAAGTAAATGTTCATCGAGACTGGTTATAATGCGCCACCATTCTAGAAAAGGTTACCGTTCCCCATCTCTCGTGACACAATACAGACCTGCACAAAATTGTCCTGCTTCTTTCACAAGAATCAACACAGTGTCATTCGAGAGATAAGTGAAATTCCGTGCTAAAGTATGTGATGCTGAGGAATAATAATAAAGATATGATTCTTTGTACGAGCGAGTTGTATAAACTTGTGCCCGCCACATGATTTTTCCAGTCCATGTTGGATAGTTGGCTGGTACAAATCTGCAGTTTACTTTGCTCGCACAGGTAACGTCGGAGCGTGAAGAGATAAATAACATATAGTATTCTCAAGCGGCTTAATACGACGTGATCCAGTTCCATCACAAAGAAACTGCAAATTTGGGGCTGGTGAATTTAGCCACTCTGGCATGCACGGATCCATGAATTACTATCAACCCGGACAATATATGGCCATTTAGCATGCAGTCCGTCAGACTTATGACAACGAGTTTTGCCCAGTCGATGTAAGGGTGTGTACTGTCAACACTGTTAGACACCATGCAAAAGGTTGCTTTTGTTGACACGAAAATAACACTACCGTGAGTATATTTTCACTCGAGTTAGAACGTAATTGCCATGATACGCATGTGGCGTACCCACATGAGTGAAAAAATGTTAAGCGCTGTCAACGACTGAATGCATATGATCCACTGGCAAATGTCCTGAGCAGCAGCGAAAGGTAGTGTTTTAATCAGAAAGAGAGTGATGTATGGACGTAAACTTCTAGGCGCTGATCCGTTAGAGTTTTTCTGAAGGCAATATGAATGTTCCGAAATGCCTAAAGGTTTTTTTAAGTGAGCCTTGGCAGAAATAGAAACCGAAACATGTTCTCAGGAAGAATTATATGAACCATTGTTTGGATACAAATACTTACAAGTTTCAATGAGTATGTCGTCAGCATCCACTACTTGTGCGTAAAAATTCTGCTGTTGTTTGCTTAACTCAGCCAGTTCGGACTAGAAGTATAACAATAAAGGATAAAATAAACTAATTAGAAACGGGATGAGCCCAGTTTGAAAATTTGGGCAACTCTCTAGCTTATGGTAAGCGGAGAAATACTGAACCTATCAGGAAGGTCAGCTTCCTGAAACAATAAGGGATAAACTAATTAGAAACGGGATGAGCCCAGTTTGAAAATTTGGGCAACTCTCTAGCTTATGGTAAGCGGAGAAATACTGAACTGAACAGGAAGGTCAGCTTCCTGAAAGTAACCACTGAGTGCCCGAAATCTACCGAGACTCTCAGCTCCGGTAGATGTTGACCAGACAGGTAACGCTCCCTAAATATATAGCGCTTCACAGCCCTGTATCAAACCCGGCCAGCGAGGATCAGCGTTGATCAAAGTTAGACAACGCCCCGCAATATGCAGCGCCTCGCAGCCTCGTACCAAAGCCAGCACTGAAACAAGTTCAGACAGTGTCCTTCCAATAAATAGTCTGAGAAAGTTGTACTTTGCGCACTCGCACTCACTCACGCTCTCGCACTAGCTTGTTTGAAATATAGCTGTTGTGTTCCCTTCGGTGAGCTATTTTTCTCCAGCACCAGGCAATGGAGCGGGTCAGCAGCGGATACCACAGATTGGCGAATCAGCAGATATAACAGGACTTAATGCGTGAGTCGATGGATGCCGGCTTACGCACAAACTCGTGAAATGCATGACAGCTCCACAGGACCTGAACATTGAGTAGGTTGCCAGGCAGATCTCACAAGCCTTGTTTATTGAAAAGTTGCAATTCAAAATTTCATCTAATGACGTTCAACGGGCA